ATCATCTGTACTTTTGCGGTGTGACTGCAATGCTGCAGTTCGGACACTTGATGCGTCTATAAGCAAGCCTCATCCGTAGACAGAAACTCATATTATTCTTAGTGATTCGCATTCAAACAGCAAAAATCCCCAAAAAAAAAATACTGGTTTTTGGCGCCTTTTCACTATCTGGCATTTTGCTAGAGATTTTGCAATTTCTACTTTGATATTTCCTTTTTTTTTGTAACTGTTAAAGCTGAAACTGAAATAGTTCATGCAAGAATGCAGAACAACCCTGTGAAATTTCAGCTTCCTAGCTTGTTTGGCACTTGAAATTGTTTTCCCACTAAAAAATTTACATGTTTTTTTCCGGCTTCCACATGTTGCACCCAATCGTACATAAATGACAGTTTTAAAACGTGAAGGGTGCGCATGCGGTAGATACACGTCCCAAAAGTTTCAGATCCCAGCTTGTCCAGTTGCTGAGTTGAAAGCAATTGACAAGATGCGAACATACGGATATATATATATACACACACACACACACACGCACACACACACACACATACACCCCACAACCTCTTGCCAATATGCATTTTTGCGCTTACATAAGAATGAGACAACCTATAAGAGTTATTATTTTGGCTTGTTCACTTTTGGAGTTCTAGAATTTCGATCAGAAATTACAAAAGAAAATACTGAAAGATCTGAGGATTATTTACAGATCTGTAGCCAGCTGCACGGCCAAAGGTTTCAAAATTTTAGTTTCTTTTAATGCTGCGTAATTCAACTATCTAGCTATCCTAACAAAACACATACCTTTGTTTTAAAGCGCTTTCAATTTATGCAGAAATGCACAAAAATCACTTCGGATTTCATTACTTCAGTGTTTAAACGATCAAAAAATTTACCTCATAAACTCCTTTCTTCGTGTCTTCTAACAGAGTCCTGTCGTAAAATTTGAATGTTGGCTCAAACCAAGGATTCTCCGAGAAGTCAATTGCTGGCATGTCCTTTAAAGAAGCTGGCATGTATATAAGAATTTGTACCGTAAGTGAACTGTTCACATCCCGATAAAGGAAAAGTACCCGGAATTTGGCACTATTTAGCGAACTCAGCTTTCAAAAAAGTGCCTTATTCAATAACGGAGTTACGAATTTTTGGCAAGCGCCATTTTTAGTAAGTGAGCGAACACTCTAGCGGGTTTTTAGGAAAGGCGGGTCAAAGCTATTTCAAACAACTAATCAACAGATGCATCTTGAATTCTGTTTGTTAACTGCGGAAGATAATAAATGGTAATGTTGAAATACCTCTAGTTTTTCAAAAAAAAGGCAGTTTATCCAACACTTTTTGAAAAAAAAAGAACCGCCCTTCCTCTTCATTCTCCCCATCCCCAAACTTCCCATCTTGTCATCGGGTTCTCGCGAAAAACCATACAGAGCAAGAAAGCCATACGCATACTCCAACGGCACCAGTAATATGACGCGAGCAGAAACTGCCAGTAGTTTAGTGACAACACCACGAATTTACGGATCTAAAACTTCTGAAGACGAGCAGTACCCTCTCGTGTTACTCATTTGCAAAACAGGCTTCACCAAAGATAACCCCGTCCTCTCTCCGTTCTCCAGTTTTAACACCAAATAGAATATTAAGACTGGAAGAAGTTAACAACTATGTCTATCTTGGACAGGAAGCAAGCACGCGCTACAGTCTTCAACCGGAGGCCGCAATTTGAAAAGCTGCGGGTTGTCGTAAATTTCACAGCACCTCAGATGCCCTCATACTGTCGAACCGAAAGGACCGTGCCCACATCTTCAATAGCACTGTGTTGAAGGCAGTGATGTACGGATGTGAAACGTTGTCACTCACGAATGCAAAAGAATGTGCGGTGGCTCTGACGAGGTTGCTTGGCATATCTCTTCGCGACCCTATAAACAATCAGACTGCCCGTCAGATGATATGTATGCAGGATGTCATTATGATCACGTGAGGAAGTAAAGTCTGTGGTTAGGACATGGTGCTCGCCTTGCCGGCAACCGCTGGATGAAGCGTATTAGTGAGAAGTACTTACGAGAAAGTAAACGACTCCTCGAGCGATTCCCGAAGAGGTAGCCCACATAAATCGAACAGGCGGTGGATACTAAGTGGAGTTATGCAGCCCAAGATCGGGATGTCCAGCATAACTGCGATCGGCGTATAGAAGCATCCCAATAACTAACAGAGGATGCCCTCATTAGCAGTCCGAGCGGTCTTGTTATTTGGCCGAATAGGGCGCCAGGGAGGTGAATCCCCACAGCGGCTGTCCGAAAAATGTTAGTGATTTTAATAATTTGGTTAAACATGGCATTTTCTTAGCGTTAGGGGCGATATCATTTACTTTTCAATGCAACTTAATAAGCTCAACTAATTTTAATTCTCAACAGGCTGGATTTTGCGCCTTTGGACATTTCTCTCTTATTCCCATCTGAACATCTTAAGAGAAAGACCATTCTGTTTTTTCGAGGAGAATGGCCACTCTACTAAACTGGTATGTTTCTGGCCCAGTAAATCTTCCCGAGGAAGATTCACATAGATTGTCTGGCCCTCAATCAAAGCAGTGCGGAAGAAAAGTATACGGAGCCAAAAAAAAGGCTGGTGTAATTTTGCCAAATTTATTAGAAAATGAACGCCAAAAAGGCAAAGAGTTGAGCGAGCGTTCTATGTTAAATCAGAAAGTTGCGTCACACATCCAGTACCATGATACTGAAGCGAACGTCGTGCGGATTGGATTAAGTAACAGGAGGTGATACAAGTGAAACATTAAACACGACTTCTGTGATCTCGATCACATCACCATGCGCATCATATGCGTCACCATAGCTACGTCCATTAATGGAGCATTTCCTGAACGCCATTATATTTTGTGTTAGTGTTCCCGTTTTATCACTGAATATGTATTGAACTTGCCCCAACTCTTCATTCAGTGTGGTGGTCCGCGCGCGAGCAGCAATATCGCCCTGAAAATTCAAAAACTGACTCGAAATCTGCTTATACGCCGCTCTGTAAAAAAGCG